GCAGTGATGTTGTCCTTGTTTGATAGTTGTCACATGTGAGGCTTGGAGAGGTGGATTGATTTGCTCAAGCTGCATTAGAATTAAGCATCAGGTGGCATTGCAACCTGAAAGTATGGGCAGGTTCCTTGAGCTGTTTTCCTTCAATGTCAACTTCCTAAATGAAACAAATCTGAAGCTTTTTGTTGTTGTTGCTCACCTGTCTCTGAACTAAAATATGTTCCAGTTTGTTTTTCCTTGGTAAGATTTATACTGACTTGCTTGGAAGAAAAGAATCCTGGGGTCCTGTCAAGCATTTCTTTATCCCTGCAAACTTTAACCCTCCACAGCAGTGTCATCTTGTGCCCCTGTAAGGCTGTTCTGTGCACCCAATTAACTCGTGTGAGACTTTTTTTAATATCAGAGGTGTGAAGTCAGGGCAAGCAAAAAAAAAAAAAAAAAAAAACCCAAAAAAAAACCCCCAAACCCAAAAAAACCCACCCAAGATGACAGTATGGGGCAGGAACAGTGTGCGCTGTGGCAGTAGGGTAAGAGGGCTGTAGAAACAGCGTTTTAAAGCTTTGCAGGTTTGAACCTTGGCTCAGGTTGCTGATGTTAAGGGATCTCCTGAAGCAGCTCAGTTTCAGCCCTGTGGAACCTGAGCTCTGCCGGGCCAAATCCGTAACGTGAAAGTTCTGCAGGTTGGCAAGCAGAGGGTTTGGAATAGCCTGGGGACTAAAAGCATCTTGTGTCTTTATTTCACTGCTCGTCGAGCTGCGCTCACACCAAGTCTGTGAGCAACAGCTAGATGTTTGCCTGTGGCTGTTCCACGTTGACAGCTTCATCTGGCAGATGACTTGAGACCTGTTGGTTTTGACAAGCGACTGGAGGATGGGCTTGAACTAGAGGGCCCGGTGTCAGGGCCAGGTACTGACAGAGGCAGAGTTGAGGTGGTGTGTCCCAGTGGTTCCTGTGCTGTGGCTAAGTTCCTTAAGCTGCTGGTGTGACCCTTGGCTGGAGTTTGCTGCAGAAAGAAGTAAACTATGGAGGCAAATAGTGATTTATTTTTAAGACCTTGAAAAAGTTTGGTATATTTGAAGTGCAGAGTTCAAGAGTCCCTGTGTACTTTGCTGTGTCTGTACAATATTTCCTTTTCTTGCAGTGGGTGTCAACCTCTTCTATTTCTGCATAATTATCTACCTCTATGGGGACCTGGCAATCTACGCAGCAGCTGTACCGGTCTCTCTCATGCAAGTGACCTGGTGAGTGTGCTTCCTGCTGTGGGGCTGTGTGCTAACAGAGAAGAGAACAGGCTTTTGGATTTGATGAGGTGACAAGTCTGACTGGGATCAGCTCTTTCTGTAAACCAGAGTGGAGGAATGACTCGAGGACAGCTCATTGTTTGTGGGTGGGAAGGTGAAGTTGGTTTATATTCCCCACCCAAGTGCCTGCTGCCTGCTTGAAAAGTGACTGACCTGATTTCAGAGGAGTCCTCCAGTGTGAAGTACTTGTGGCTTCAGCACCTTGGAGACATGTGACTTGTTGCTTAATAGTTTGATTGACATACCCTGTGCCATATTTTAGCTTCTCTGTCTCTTTTGGTAAGAGCTGAGAGGTGTAATGCTTACCGAGCCTGTGACCAGTGAGTGGTGACACTACGTGGACTTGGCTCTGGACTGAGCCCAGTTCCTTTCTCAAAGAAACATAACGGAAGAGATTTGTTTGATCAAATCTGTGCTGGGCTGGATTTGGACTCTTGACTTGGAAATGGAAAGCCTTAGTGATCTATATATGACCTAAACTTGCTAGCTTGATGACCAAACTTGTAAATAACTGCAGGCAATTCAAGAATGTGCCTTTACGTGTACGGTACTCAGTGACTCGCTCTGTTCCACAGTCCAGAAAATATAAGGGAGGACAGTGTTCGGGGAGGGAGGGGAGGAATGAACACTTCGGGTTTCTGACCGTTCCTCTTTCTTGAATGGAGGAGAGGGGAAGACATCTGCTAGGAGTTAATTACTGTCTTTTGTTTCTCCCTTCTTTCCCAGCAGTGCCACTGGGAACCATTCTTGCAGTGTTGGAGATGGCACAAAGTATAACGATACAGACAAGTGCTGGGGACCAATTCGACGGATTGATGCTTACAGACTGTATCTGGTGAGTTTCTGAAACTGGGGTGACTGTTATTTCCATTTAAACTTTACTCCTACTGGGTGGAGGCTTTTTCCTGTAGAGATGATGTGGCTCAAGTGGTGTGAAGCTTTTGGTTCAGTCGGACCTTTTTGGCCAAATACCCCCTCTCGATCCTTGGTGACATGGCTGTGTTTTGGTGGCCATCAGAGTAATCCTTATGACTTTGAGCTGAAGTAGAGTTCTGTCCTTCTTGAGTAGTTCTATATTGCTTGAGCAGGTGGTTTGTCTGTCCGTGCCAAAGGGTGGGGTTTTTTTCAGTGGCCGGCTCAGTAATTATTGCTTTGAGTTAATTGCTGTCAATATACTGGAGTATACTAAGCTGTCTTGGATGCATTTTTTATGTGAATAAAATTGTGTATGCTGCAGGAGAATCTGCTTTTTGAGAGATGATGGAAAGAGCGCACTTAAACAACATCCAGTGCTATATGCTGCTGTAGTAATAGCTTTCTGTCTAGTTTAGGATTGTCTATTGCATCTATTACTGTGCTGTGGTTCTGCTGTGAAACCAAGGTTCTTCCCAAAGGGTGATAAACGCTGCTTCTCTTGGGCTTAAAAAGAGTTGAGCACTCATACCTGGAGACAGATGTCAGTAGGGGAAAATGAGAAGAGGGAGGTATGGAAGTGCTGCATAGCATGGCTTCTGTTAAGGATCTCGGTGAGAATTTTAAGAAAAGATAGTGAAGGTGGCTGTGTGTGTGCAGAGTAAACCAGGGGTAAAGACTATTTGAAGCAGTCTTGCACTTTAGTACATTTTGGACCTGCAGGGGATCACATCCCTGAGTGCACTTGTTCCAGCATTCTTGCAAAAGTAAGAGCTGGGCCTCAGAAATATTAGTGAATGTCAAAGCCTAGTTAATTATTTAAGAGAAATATTATTGCTTTATTAAATTGTGTCTTGGTCTGTTTCTTTAAAACTTCCAGAAGATTGAAGATTTTCTTCCAGAATTTCAATAACTCTCCCTGACCCAGCAGAAGGAGTTAGTCAGAAAAGGCAGACATGCATTAATTACTGCCTGCATCTCTCAGATATTATGTCTATAATTCATGAACGTAATTGTTGTTAGGACTTGAAAAATTAAAAAATTAAGACTGTGTAAGCATTAGACTTGCCGTCTGTGTACATAACTCTCAGAGGAGCTTTTCCCTCTGCTTGTCTCCTGTCGTGGATTTGGAGAATAAATATCTGCTAAGTCTTTGGTAGTGGTTAATCCCTCTCTGCTCAGTAATTGAGGTGAGGGTTTCAGTGCTTTTCTCTGCTCCCCCTTAGAAGTAGGAAGGGATTGCTTGTGGGAGAACGTACTGGTCTGTGGTGGGTTATTGAAGGGGGCCGTTCCCACAGTCACTGTGTTCAGGAGACTGCTGGCTGTCAGCATTGCCTCCAAATTGTGGTTTTCTTTTAAGGTCTTTAATGCTTCTTACTGGATGAGTATGGGAGTAAACTGGGACTTGTTCTACCTCCAGCTCTGACCCCATTCCCTGCTTGACCTGTGTATTTTTTTTTTCCCTCTAGAAGACAAAAATGATGATGACTTCCCTAGAGAGGGATAAGAAATGTAATAGTTTATAAAACATTCAGACCCACAGCACTGACACCCCCTTCAAGTCTGGGCTGTCTCTGAAGTGACTGCTCTGGTTGATACTTTTCCCCTGCTGTCCTGTTTGTGACGTGGGCAGCTGGTGACCAGTAGTTAAAGCTCTTAAATTTTTCCGAGAGAAACCTGGGGGATGGGAGGGCAGGGGTAGGAAGTTGCTTGGCATCAAGCAAAAAACTGTAATTTTGTCTAAACTTATGTGTAGCAGTGGAGTCTTGAACGTGCAAGAAAAGCTGAAACCTGCCTGTCTGAAGGGGAAAAATCAACATGAAAGTGGAAAGGGGTGAGATGCATCAGGAGCATAACTATTCTCTTGGTCCCAGGGGATCTTACCCATAGACAACTTGCTCTGTTTTCTTGACTTTTTCTTTTTTGAATTCTTGCTTGTTGGAATAATTCAGGTTCCACGTTTCAGTGGACAAACAAGGTCTCTTTTTGCAGGCTGAGTTACCCTGTGGCAAGGGGACAGATGGACACTGCGATCCCAAAAGAAAGCAGCTGAGTTTTTGGATCAGCCCTTTTGTCCTAGATGCCTGCCTCTAGTTTTCTTACCTCATCTTAGTACTGTATTTAAGCTTAAGTGACTTCTAGAAGCAAGATGAGTGGATAGAACTAGAACCTCTTGCCTGTTCCAGTGAATCAGGTGTCTGGATGTAGCGTTATATTTCTTACACTATGCATGACCCCACAGAAAGCCTTTTTTGGGACTACCAGGAGAAATAATCTATTTGAGGGTTTCTGGGAAAATGGTGCCAATGGGAGCTCTCTTGTGCCAAGTACCACCAGTCTGCCAAAGATCTGTGCTGCCTTCCTCCTGTCGACTCTCTCCCAAAGCAGTGTCTTTTCAACAAAAACCATTTCAAACATTGACTTTTTCGAGCTGGGGATAAAGAGGAGAATAATGAGTGATGTAAAAATCCTATTTCACGGTTTATTGTCCAAAAAGGCCTCTGGAAGCTGTCTGTGCTCTGATCACTGTGAATGGAAGCTGAAACTTATGTACATAATGAGAATATTTAGACAGATTAAATTCTTCTCTTGAGACTTGCTTGTCTGTGCAGCATCTTTATTGCTACTCCAAAATTTCACACCTAAGTGTGACTGCGGAGTCTTCAGAGACCGCTAGGCCCCTATTAACCTCTGTCTGAACAAATGGTTACCTTGCTTCTTGTTTGTAAATTGCCTTGGAAAACAAAGGCTGGCAAAACAAATAAGTGAAGGCAAGGTCAGGAAATACTGAAGTAGATTTTTTTTGCTTCTGTCCCATCGCTTGCTGCTAATATTTCCCTCCTCTTTGGGACTGTAGGGTTCCTGGGAGGTTTAAAAGGTGAGCCTTGCCGTGCTGTTAGGCGCCTGCGAGGGCGAGACCACGCAGGGCAGAAGGGCTGGAGGAAAGGCACGGGTTAGATGGCCCAGCGACCTTGTTGAAGGCAAGCCCTGATTACAGTTAGAGCAGATCGATGGCTTTCTATCTTCGCTTCAGATCCTGCCACGCTGTCATGTCCTCGACAGCTGAAGTGACTCCCGAGTCCCTTGGCTGTCTCGATGGCGATGCTAAGGACAGGGTCAGGTTCTCTCCGTGCTGAATTCACACTTCAATGCAGTCGCTCTGTCATGCTTGCTGTAAGGTCAGCTGGGTGTCGTCTGTGTAGACTGCAGGGAAGGGGCAGCGGATTTAAGTTTCAGTTCTCTCATCGTAACGCTTTCTTGTCTTTCTGTTCCGGTGCTGTAGGAATGTGACATGATAGTCCCTGTTTCTAGAAAGCAGATACTGAGATAAATAAGAGATTAAATCCTGGGGATCAGCAGCCATTCAGTGTGTCTGATCCAAAATGCCTTCATGACCTGGCAAACGGCGCTTCTTGTCTGCACCAGGGTAGCTGTGGTAGCTAAAACCTCTACTCTCTTCTCAGCCCTCCTCTTCTGGCAATTTGGGGCACGGTGTCTTCCCGTGATGGAAAGGAAATGGCTTAAATTCTCAGGGGGAGCCGTACACCTTTCAGAAGAGGCACTGGCACAGGTACTCCTGGTAGCCTGGCTCAGCAGCGCATCAAAGCTACCAGGTGCATCTGTTCTGTCTGAGTCTCTGTTGGTTTTTTAGCTGATTGGGAAAGGGACGCGGCATCCGCTTTTGCCGGTTCACAGATGCTGCAGTATCGCAGGCAGCCCAGCGGGTGCAGGCCGAGCGAAGATGGGAGCGCAGATGGTTTAATGGAGATTATCCCAGTTGGAAACGTGCTTGTGCAGTGAATAAAATGAGCGGGCTTGCAGGCGCTTACTGTCCCTCTTCAGGAGGGGACAATGTCACCCCAGCCCGACACTCTGATCGGAATACCCAGCGACCAGAGCGGGGCTGGGCTGCGGGAGGCTGTGCAGGGGGGTGAGGAGGTAGTCTGAGGACACGTACGACTGCTCAGCGCTGGCAAATGCGAAGGCTGAACTGATAAGTGTTGATGTAGATCCCGTCTGCCTCGGCGCGGGGCTGCCTTCCTGGCCCTCTCCAGCTGCAGGCTGGAGCGCCGTGCTCTGTGCCGCTCGCGTACGTGCTCTGCTGCCCTCCCAGCTTTCCTCCTTCCTGGCTGTGCCGCGCGTGTGTGCGCGCCCTCCGCTCTGGGTAAAGGTATCTGTGATTTTTATTGTCAAAACGGATCTTTCCGAATACGTTTGTCTGCACTAGGGCGGTTTTATCAGCTTGTTCAGTGCAGGAGACTCCTGGGGCCTCTCGGTCCATGGTTGCCTTCTGGCCTCTGTGGGCTTTGTGGGGTTTTTTGTTTTATCTTTTACCTCCCAGCAGTGATAGGAGGGGAGCCCTCATGGCAGTACTCGAACATCCATGCTTGATCTAAGCTGTCTCTTGTCAACTGGGAGCTGGAGAAACAGAGCTGGAGCAGTGCTGCAAGCAGAGTGCTTCTTCCAAGGACACCTGGGTTTGCTCCGCCTGTTCCCTTTGCAGCAAGTGCTTTTCCTCTGCCCTGCCTTCCTCAGCTGTGCCCTGCAGCAGCATCCGCTAATAAATGGGTCGCAGCTGCCGTCTCCTGGATATTTATTCTTACAGGTCTCGGTGTCTAGAGACCTTGAGAACCAGCGGTGGGGAAGGTAGCTGCTTTAGTGGCAGGTGTCTGGAGCAGGGAGGGCTGATTTCACAACACATGGATCAAAATGGTTTGGGGTGCTTGTCCTGGGCTCCCAGGGTGAGCGTAAAGGAAAGGAAGCTGATGGGAGTTTACCCTGCTGGTGTGAAGCCATCATCTTGTTTAAATAAATTGCTTAAACTGTAGCATTATGTTCCAGGTTGCCCCAGCTTATGGTAAGGATGCAGCAGGACTGGGGCACTGTTAGCATGCCACCCTGCATATCCTATAAGAAGTTATT